TTTAGAATTTTTAGTGTGGAATCATTCAGATCAAATTAGCGGTCCGATAGCTTTGGAAGAAATAGAAGTTCAGTATAAAAGAAGTTGGAAACCTCGCACAATAAGTTACATTATAGATATTACAGAATCTTTGAAGGAAGGAGATCTGCAAAAGGTAATATATTATATAGGAGTTAGACGAATCTGTTAATTTATTATAATTAGGATAAATGATCTAGTTGCGTGATCTGACTTGAATATAAGGTTTAATTGGGTGTTAACTCTCACTTTAAATAAAGTTGTCAATTAGAATTAAGTAATATAAGTTATTCTTAATAAAAGTTGTATTAAGAACCAACATGTCTCATCATTTTGATAATCCCACACCTCTAGCTTACGCGGATCCGAAACGACTTAGTCATCACAGGATGGCTATGTCGCACTGTTACAGATGACTAATATTAGCATCTAAGACATTGGTCAAAGGGCTATCGAAAACTTTTTATCAATGTCCTTAAAACTAATGGGAAAATGAACAATTTTTCTATTCAAATGCATTTCTACACATTTTAGATATATCAATTAAAACTTTAAGATTATTTCGACCGAAATTATAGTTCTTAAGTTTGAAAGAATCAATCGTAATTTGAAAGGAAGTGCCAAAATTGTTCTGCCACTTCCGTCGTCGGTTTCTTAGTGGAGTGCTTATCACGTTCGCTTCACACGCGAGAGGTCTCCGGTTCGATCCCAGACGGAACCACGCGACAGAGTGTTTTCATTTTATTCTATGAAATGATATAGCAGGTGGGAAATACAATGGAATTCACGCGCTTGGATATCTCTTATTTTTTTTACAAGCTTTTATTTAACTTGCCATGTATATTGTTCGGGTGGAATCTTGCAACTGATTGCAATTTCGAAGCTGATGTCTTCAACCGATTGAGCTGAAATTTTGTATACACGTTTAGTTTGGATGACAATGCATGTTTGGACAATTTATATTCCTATATCGCAATCAGTTAAAAATATATTAATTAAAAACCCTTTGCCCCTGTTAGGTTTTTATTCTGCCTAGCATCTTGCCGGGTTGAGCTTAAGGAAGTTCCGATTTTTCGACCTTTTTTAAAAACCCATCTTATTCTTTCTATCAAACTGAGACAAAAAATAATTACATACTCGGAAAGATCATTTATTTCGTCACTATACGGTGTTTTATTTATTTATTTTTTAAATAACGATATTTTCTATTTTTCAAGATTTTTTCTAAAATGCATTTTCATGAAAATGATTCCTTAATCGTACCGTATGAATTTTTTTTTCGTTTTAATGAATCGATATTCTGCACTAAAAATGTTCAGGCTTTTCTCTTTTAGAATCAGCCAGTTAAAAAATAAAACACCGAAAACTTTTTTGTTTCTACGACTTTTCAAATAAATACTCAAATTTTTAATAAAACATTTAAAAACTTCGTTATTTTTAAAGATAATCGCACGAAACTCTCTTTTTTCGTTTGTAGAATAGTATTATCCAAACTCTGTACAAAGATTTAAAAAATTGGTTTAAAATTACGAATTAAGAGAATTTTTTTTGTTTTTTTCGTTTTTAATATAGTATTATAGTAAAAGCAGGAAAAAAAAAAAAGAGTTTTAATATTTTGATTAATTTTGCTTTGTCCAATTTTGTTTTGGTCTTACAGTGTTCATGTCCGTCCCCCATTATCCTCTTGTTGCGGCTCGAGTGAAATATCAATTATATGTACGTGGCCCGGCGAAAAAAGATTGAGTACCTCTGAGTTAGCCTGTTCAAAATTAAACGGCAAACGACCTTGCAACAATGATGCGTTGAATGAGAAGAATAGACTGAGAAACCTGTCCAGCGATAGCTAAAAAGTTAAAAATAAATAAAAAGTAAAAAAAAGACGTTTTTACAAACAAGCTTTTATTTAAATGCTCTAAAAAGAATAAAATAAACTTTTCTTTAAAAATTTTTTTTGCTATCAACTTATAACGTCATTACATAATTTATGATATAAAAGCTTGTCGCGAGATTTACCTGCGCACATAAACAAGCAAATTAAATAGCTTTATCTGATTGATTTTAATTTTTAAAATTTTCAAACTAAGTAAATACGTGTACTTCAATCTCGTGACAAGCTTTTATATCATAAATTGTGTAATGATGTTATAAGTAGATATCAAAAAAATTTCTCAAACGAAAGTTTATTTTATTCTTTTTAGAGCATTTAAACAAAAGCTTGTTTTTAAAAAGGTTCTTTTTTTTTACTTTTAAATTATGTACGCTTTACTTTAATTACGTGTATAAAATATGGCTATGTTACCTAAATAAGAGTATAGACTTTATGACATCTCTCGCGTTCTTCTTCTAACATAACTCCTACGTTCTTTGACGGCCACGATTAATGGCAAAACTTTTCCAACCCAATACCAAGAGGAAAAACAAAGCAACAATGCAAATAAGATATACTTTAAAAGGATAGAAAGTTTAGTGAGAGGGATGGCAATCTCTTAGAGAAAGCTTAGTGTGGAACAGTTCGGAACAAGTGTTAGACGGCCTACTCACAAGGAAGAAGGAAACGCCCACCTTCGATAATAATATTTATAAGGAAGAGTAATTGTACATGAGTGTGAACTGCGTCCGCATGTTACTGTCGGCTAGATCAAGGGAGGTAGGAGGTTGACTTCCCTTAGGACATCAGCGCCGGGGTGTCCACCCTGGGATCTTTCCCACGAGAAACTACATGACCGTTGAAACGTCACTCGTTCCCGACGGGAAATGGGTCTTTGGTGAATACCGCCGCATACTCCCTCTCCAGTAAAAACGGTAACGGTTATACATTTACTTGGAACCTTAGAGATAGCTCTATTATCCACTCATCATAATAAATTAAACAGAGAACAATTTGTTGTTGTTACATATAAAAATAAAAAGCAGTCCATATTAAATGCAGCGCAATAACGCTGATGGAGGGGTGGGTGGAAACCACTCTCCCAGTTGATTTAGTTTCTGTCTTGCTTTCATAGGAAAACGAAGAGAAAATGACGTCACATCTCCATGACAGGAAAGCCCGTCTTTCAACCGTCTGCCGCATCTTGACGGAACGAGGAGAGAAGGGATATATTTCTTTAATAACAAGGATTCAGAGAAAAATATTTTTAAGTCGGTTACACCAGTGCTTCTCAAAGTTTCAGTATTCGCGACCCAGTATTCAATCATGACTTTCCTCGCGCCCCCCTCATACAATAACAATGTATTGAATTTAATAATACTATACTTTGACGCTAAAACTACGATACGACTTTAATCTCTTAAATGTCACCGACGTATATAAACATCTCGCTCAGCCAAAGTGTTAATTTCCCCGGACGTATATATACGTCGTTGCAATCTTTTCTGTGCAATGCTGTTCATAAAATTATTCCGAAGACTTTGGAATGCAATAAAACTACCTCGAGAATGTTTGCGAAGGATTTACTTATTTCGGATTATTTGCTTCTTATTTTCCCCCAATACATCATCGAGCCTATGTGGGAAACTGTTAGAATTGGGGAGCGACTCGCGTAACTTTTAATCGGCTGTTAAGGGATTAATTGTAAACCGTACAAATTATCAAGATAAGTGTTAATTTTTGTATATAATTTTATATATATTGCAATCCCATGGGGTCCCTGATAATTATTAAACTTGTTCTTAACTTTGTATTGTTAAAGTAATTATGAAATATATTGTGCAGTACTGGTACATTTATAAGTATATTATAATAGTGTATTTTATTTTTTGTTATGTTAGAATATATTTTGTTTGTTTACTTTCAGTAAATTAATAATATTTCTAAATAATCTTTTGTTTTTGACTTTTCTATATGCTCGCGTCCCCTCGTAGAGTTGTCACGCCCCTCAAGGGGGGCGCGCCCCACAGTTTGAGAAACGCTGCTTTACACGTTACCTCTAAGATAACTGCGTGGGGTTATTGAAAGGAAGTTTTAAATAACCACTTGGAAGAAAGTAAGAAAAGGTAGGAGTTTGAAATAAGATCATGAGGATGAATTTTGCAACCCCAAACGCGATCAAAACTTGCATGGCGCGGGGAGGGAATAATTAGAGTGAGTGAAGTCTTGCAAAAAAACAACTAGTGTAACAATAAAGCTCATATTTTTAAATTCGTATCAAGACATTCTCATCCTTTTAAAGAACTGGGAAGTGTTGTACGCGCGCGAGTGATTAAGAACTGCTCTAGGTCTCTTAGAAGAGCTAGGGAATAGTTGTAGTAAGCCGGATTTCCCTGATAGATTCATTTGAAATCTGAGTAACCGGTTGAAGAAATTTCTGATTGTTTTTGATGAAACCCAAGAAGCGGCGGAACATTAAAGATCTTTATGCAAGACTTCGTTCCGACAAACCGTTGCGTTTGCTTCTCTACGCAGTTGAATGTTTTAAAAAGTGTCCAATCTTTTCAGGTGAGTAACTGCCGCCCTTGTCCAGATGGGAGAAGCGTACAGCATGATGGGGCGAAGAATGGTTTTTGTATAATAGAACCTTGTGCCTTAATGCGAGCTTGCTTTTGGGAGAAATCAAACGATTTATAGTGTTTCTCATTCCAGCCGCCTTTTGGTTGGGTGGAACGGATGTGTTTAGCAAAGTTTAATTTAGTGTCAAGTATTAAACCTAGGTACTTATATTCAGAAACCCCGGGGACAGGCTGTTTAAAAAATGTTGACATGCGGGAGGTTTTCGATGCACCGCTGTCTCTAAAGAGGAGGCATGCGCTTTTAGATGCATTAACCTTTATTTTCCAGTCATAAAGCCAGGTTTCGAGTCGAATGACGTAATTTTAAAACCGCTCAATGATATTGCGGTTATAAATGTTTTGGGTAAAATGGCAGTGTCGTCGCGTACATCACTAAGGGACTTCGGCAGCCTTGGAATTCGTTGATGTATAGATTAAAGAGCTTGGGCTCTAATAAGGATCCTTGTGGTACCCCACCATAATTGGACGCAGGGTTGAGAAACTGTTTTTAACTCTTACCCTAAATTCACGGGAGTTTAGGTAGGAGTGTATAGTTTTGATGAGTTGGTCCGAAACCCGAGTCGCATCATCTTGGATACAAGCCATCATCCCAAATTTTGTCAAAGGCTTTGGCTATGCCCACAAAAAGCATACCCGTGGCCTGGTTATTTTGAAAGCCGTGATGAATCGCTCAGTAACTCTTAGTAACTGGGTTACTGTGGAGCACGTGTAACAAAAACCATGCTGTTCAGGGAAAAATAATATTCCTGGCTATGGAATTTATTCAAAGGGGATTCAAAAGAACAAATTCGACACTTTGCTCAAACTACTGAGTAGCGAGATTGAACGGTAATTTTTGGGTTGAGTATCATCAGAATTGGGGTTTCAGTATGGGGACCACCACGGCAGTCTTCCAATTCTTAGAAATGACAAAATTCTCCATTAATAGATTGAACAGCATGACAATAAAAAGAACGAATTTGAGGGGAGATTTTTAAGGATGCGATTTGTAATTAAATCCAATCCAGGAGATTTATTGATCTTAAGCTTTTAATATATTCCTGTACTTCCCTGGCGTTGTTTTAGGTCTAGACAGGTAGGAGCGTCCAGAATCTTTTTTAAATTTTTTTGTGTATGAGCTGTAAAACGTTCGTTTCCTTCCCGTGTTCGTTCGAACTGCTTTTGAAGGCTGTCGGCAATCACTTCCGCTTTCTCCAGAGGGTGATTTGCTACTCT